TCTATCTATCTATCTATCTATCTATCTATCTATCTATCTATCTATCTCTATTTATCTATCTGTCTATCATATATATCTCTATCACCTATCTATCATCTCCCTCCCTACCTACCATCTCTCTCTCTTCTCTCTCTATCATCTATCATCTCCCAACCTACCATATCTATTTATCATCTCGCTCTTCTATCTATCTATCTCTATCTATCATCTATCTATTATCTACCTACCTACTTTATCTATTTATCTATCATATATATATCTCTATCATCTCTCTACCTAACTACCATCTCTCTCTCTTCTCTCTATCATCTATCATCTACCTACCTACCTACCTACTTATCATTTCTCTCTCTCCTGTCTCTCTCTGTGTGTGTTTGTGTGTGTAAAAGGCAAGGAGAATTTCTTGATTTTTCTTTTCTTTTTTTCCAGCATCCAGTCGGGGTGGATTCTATACGTTAAATTTATTCGGTATTTGGATCAATGGACACACTTTTCGCGTGCTTTTAGTTTGGTTTCCCTTCCGAAATCTGCTCTCTTGGCTGAGGCTGACCAGGTGCGGTTTGCAGAGACATGTTTGGCTTCGTTCATAGGAAGAAAGGTGAGGCAAGTTAAAAGTTAAACTCCAGGAAAGGAATGCGATGGCTTTGGAGTGACTGAGGGTTTAATCACTGGGAATTGGCGCCAGGCGAGGATGTCACCTTTGGACGGTCCATTGCATCATAAATGAAGATGACGGGGAAAATAATAATAATAACCAAAGGATAGGAAGGTGTTGTTTGTTGGGTGCTTTCCCTGATTATTTCTGATTCAGGGTGTGTGCAAGGCGGGATGGGATTGTGAAAAGAAATTGACTTTCTTTTCTTTTTTGAAATCCTCTCCAAGCTCTATGGCAATACGAGAGAGCATAGTAAAATTATATTCATATGAATGATGGTAGTTTATAAAGATTTAATAGGTATAAAGAGAAATATATACTCTTTCCCACAGCCAAAAAAAGGAAGATAGAGATGGTTAAATTAATTGCTTTATCCAAAAGAAATATTAATTCTGCTTTTAACTTGGGCATGGCTCCTGATTTTTGTGCTTGTGATTGAAAGAAATAAGCTTTCTCATCTCTACCTACCTTACCAATCTATCATCTCGCTTATCTATCTATCTATCTATCTATCTATCTATCTATCTATCTATCTATCTATCTATCTATCTATCTCTTATCAATCAATCATCTACCTACCTACCTACCTTATCTATCTGTCTGTCTGTCTATCCAACCTCCATCCATTCCCCCTCCCCCCTATCTATCTCTATCCATCCATCCATCCATTTTGGATGCATTTTAGCCCATTTGAGGTACTTTGGTTCAAAAATTGTTACCCTGCGATGGGCTATTTGGCCCAGTTAAAGGTTCCAAGATTGAGAATAGGCCTCGTCTGACTGCAGCCCTGCGTTAAACGAGACAAACTAATCCATAAAGTATTTTTTTGGTGTGGCTTTGGCAAAGAACTCCGGTTCTACGGATCAGGGAGTAGGTATTTTGTGTCGCCACCCAGGAAAAAGCCTGGCGTGAGAACCAGGAAGAAGAGTGCTGGTCTCCAGTCTGAATTTTTGTTATAAGAGGCGGATTGTGGGCTGGCTCATTTGTATAAGTATAGTTTCAGGATAAGAGCTGAGGTTGTGCATCTGCAACACCTTGTGTGGGCAGCAATTGAGTTGCACTTTCCCTGGGAAATTACAGTAAATAGGAGAGAGAGAAAATTGTCCATGGGTGTGCATTTATCTTTCTCTCTCTCTCTCTCTCTCTTTTTCTTTCTTTCTCTCTTTTTTTGTCTCTACCTCTGTTTTTCTCTCTCTTTCTCTGTCTCTGTCTCTTTCTTTTTTCTCTCTGTTTCTGTTTTTCCTCTGTGTGTGTCTCTCTCTCTTTTTCTTTCTTTTTTTCTTTCTTTTTTCTTTTCTCTCTCTCTCTTTCTTTCTTTCTTTCTTTCTTTCTCTCTGTTTCTGTTTCTTTCTCTGTGTGTGTCTCTCTCTCTTTTTTCTTTCATTTTTTTCTTTTCTCTCTTTCTTTCTTTCTCTTTCTTTCTCTGTCTCTGTTCCTGTCTCTCTTTTTATTTTTTATTTTTTTCTTTCGTTCTTTCTTTTTTCTCTGTCTCTCTCCTTTTCTCTGTCTCTGTTTCTTTCTCTCTCCGTGTGCCTCTCTCTCTTTTTCTTTTTCTTTCATTCTTTCTTTTTTCTCTGTATGTCTGTTGGTCCCTCCCTCCCTCCCTTCCTTCCTTCCTTCTGTCCTTCCTTCCTTCCTTCCTTCCATCCTTCCTTCCTTCCTTCCTTCCTTTTTCTTTCTTCCTTCCTTCTTTCCTCCTTCTCTCTCTCTCTCTCTCTCTCTCTGTGTATGTTTCTTTCTTTTCTTTTCCCAACATTTCAAAAACAGAAGGAGACTGGAGATTAGAACAGTTTTTTTTTGTGGGGAGGTAATCCAGAAGCAAAAATGATCAAGTTTTCCAGGGTTTATATCTCTGGGGACCAAGCAAAAGTTTTTTTCCCCCCATTCTGTAACCTCCATGTGGTGAGGAATGCAGGTTCCATTATCCTCTGCCACACGTTGTCTGGAAACGGGCGGGTGCTGAACCCTAAAGCATCCCACCTTGCCTTAGCACCGTATTGTGCAGGGATTCACACACTGCAGACGAAGGAGGAGGTGGAGAATTACACATCTGTCCCCACAAAAAAAATGACTTACTTTGGCAGGGATATATTGGAGTATTTTGTCTGAAGTCACATCTCTCTCCTGCTCTGCTTCAAACCCAAAGAGCCCGGCCAGTTTTTTCTTGCTCTCTTGTCTGAAAGGCAATAAAAGAGGGCCACAAAAAAACATCAAGGAGAGCAAACAAAAGGGGGAAAAAAGGGGGGAAGGAGCAATTTATTTTATCACTAGGCTCATCAACGTTTGCAACTCACCAACCGTCAAAAATGCGAAGAAAAGGAATGAGGGGCATCGCCCCAGCTTTGCTTTACTGTCTTGTTCAGGTTAAACTAGAGAGAGTCTATCCAGTTTGAGGGAAAGGGGGAGAGGAGAAGGAGAGGGAGAAGGAGAAGAAGAGGAGAGGGGAAGGGAAGAGAGGGGGGAAGGGAGGAGGAGAGGAGGGGAGGGAAGGAAATAACAGAATAACATAGTTGCACAAGACCTTGGAGACCATCTAGTCCAACCCTTTCCTCAAGCAAGAGATCCTATACCATCCCAGACCAATGACAGTCCAATCTCTTCTTAAATGCTTCCAATCATGGAGCATCCACAACTTCTGAAGGCAAGTCGTTCCATTGATTAATCGTTCTGTCAGAAAACAACTTCTTGTTTCTAGCTCTAAAAGCAAAAGAGGAAATGAGAAGGAAGGGAGGGAAGAAAGAAGGAAGGAAGGTAGGAAGGAAGGAAGAAGAAAGGAAGGGAGGAAGGAAGGAAGGGAAGAAAGGAAAGAAAGAAGGAAGGAAGGAAAGAAAGAAGGAAGGAAAGAAGGAAGGAAAGTCTAAAGACAAAGTTGTGACATTGGTCTCAGGGAAGAACAATAGCTTAATTATTGCATACATGCTAATAGGCATTGCATAATATACGTTTCCTGATTACCAAATTAACCTACATTCTGGATTTGTAGTAACTCACTCAATCATAAAACCCAACTAGGCCAACATACATACCTCAATTAAAGTGAAAACTAACCAGCTTTAAGCATATACTGTGCTTTGAGCCAACCTAGATATGGGCCTGATGCAAATCGATGTCTAAAATACATATACATATACATATACATATACATATACATATACATATACA